AAGTCTGGAGCTGAAGTTTTCACATGTAGGACTTCCTCATAGCACACACAAGCTTCCAGCTGGAGGAACCATCACCCCTGCCCGGTTCCCCCAGGCCACATACTCCTAATTGTTGAGAAAACATTTTCCTCCCCGATGCCGAACGTTCAGGTGAACACGCTCAACATGAACATTTTCTTGTTGTAATCAGCCGTGAGTGTTCGGTCCAGTGATCCGCCCAGTGCTGAAATATCAGCATTGCTTGGAACCGGCCCGCGAGCTTATTTAATCCCGGATAAGAGAACCGCCTCGCGTTACATCCCGGATAAATCACCGCCTGCGCTCCGACCAGCTCTAAGTGCGTCTGTGTTTTCCTCCACTATATGTTCCTGCTAACAATTCATCATGTTTTGGGCCAATTTGTACGTACGTCACTAGGCCACCCAAGTACCTCTGCTGGGCACGCTCCTTACTGCTGGCAAGCAACTGATCCCTCCAGAGCCACCATTCTGCTAACGTTCGAATATATTTTAGTAAGGGGGAGATGAATAGACCCTCTGTGCTTCACAACCGGCTCTCACAGAACAGTTTCCATATGTTAGAGCAAGCAATTGTATAATAAATAAAGGGAAAATACCCGCTCACTGCTCAGCCCCGCTTCACCCTAATTTGTAAGTATTGCTGAACTAGGAGAAAAGGTATCCAGGCAGATTAACCCTTTATGGAGCCAGCTCGCTAGACTCGTATGTATAAAGTATATTGTGAGCATGTTTTCCAAGTATCCTCTTCTGTTCCGTCTCTGAATGACTTGGATCATGTTTTATAGGATCTCAGCGTCCAGATGGGACAACTATTAGCACGGCATTGATTCGGCCAAAAGACGTATTCTCCTCTGTTGTATTGTCACCGTTTCCGAAACAGCCTCATACACAAAAGTCACATTGTGGTACATTTATAGGAACCAGCTTTGGCCAACATCAGCACAAAAAAAAGGACATTAGCTGAAGCCAAACCACACAAACATGATTTTGGAGCATGTGCTGAATGACGATTCCATTGTTTTCCCGGAGTTCGTAAATACAAATGATGGTTTGCTCTGGACTAGCAGGGGAGGACTGGGCAGGCCTGACAACACTGCTTGGGATTTCAGTGCAGTGGAGGCAGCGTTGTCAGCTCACACAGGAAGTTAGGGGCTCACTGGGTTTCCGGCAGGTATTTTTCTGTACTTGTGGCACTTGTAAAGAGACAAAACAGGGGAAATGTGCATGTACTGCCCGAGATGTGATGAATACTGTATTTTTCCGTGTATAAGACGCTACTTTTTCTTAAAAATATTTACCTAAAAATGGAGGGGCGTCTTATACACGGGGGGCAGAGAGGAGAACCGCGGTTGCGAAACTGCCGATACCTCTGCAAACTAGCCTCACGAGTGAAACTTCTGATTGCAGAGACAAGCTAACAGGTTTCCTCCAATCATGAGCCTTATGTACCCGACGTCAGCTGATGCTACGGAAAGCGTTTAGCCAGTGCCCAGATGCAACAGGGAGCCCATAAAAATGTCAGAAAAAAAAAAAAATACCGGTACCAGTAAGCGGCTGTCTTACTCTGCAAAATTTAACCTGGATGTAATCAGTTATGCAAAAGAGCATGGAAAATACTGATTTCTGAATTTTGGGTAAGAAAAGTGGGGGCGTCCTATACATGGGGGCGTCTT